GGAGTATCAGGAGGGGGCCGTTGTTGTGGTAGTTCGGGGGTCAAACCACGCAATCTGAGGCGCACGCCTTGCCCTTTGTAACATACTGGGCGCGAGCACACATGGGCACCAGGCAGGGGGGATCAACACATTTATCGAACGTCCTTCGGCCCATCCCGCGACCGTGCCTGGGTTGTGGGTCAGAGTTCTCAGGAATGTTTCTTTGGGTCTCTTCGTGGCGGTCTCGGGGGCCTCTTGGGAGCAGTTCGGGGGCCTCTTGGGGGCCTCTGGGCGCCTCTTGGGGGCGGCTGTTGTGGTCCTCTCGGGGCCTCTTGGGGGCCTCTTGCGGCCTCCTGGGGGCCTCTTGGGGCGGACGGCTCGGATGTAGTCGCCGACCCGACCAGCTCGTCGATGGTCGGCCTCGGGCCCTGCTTGGCCCTGGATGGCCCTGCTGCCATCCTCGCCAGCCGGTTGGCAAGGTTCGCCTTCAGGCCCGTCGTGCTGAGGCCCCGCGCCCTCAGCGCCGCCTTCAGCTCGTCCACCTTGTAGCGCATCAGCTCGTCTCTGACTGCTATCTGCTCGCCGCTGATTGGAACGCCGTGGAGCTCCTCGTACTGGCACTCCACGATCCTCGACGCGACCTGTCGTCGCTGGCTAGGTTCTTCACTCTTAATCGGCACGGAACCTCCCGCTGCCGATCCCGCGCTCGCGCCCTCTGTGGCTGGAGGCGGTGCTTCCCCGCTCTCGTCCGCCCTGAGCGCTGTCGTCTCGCCCGTCGTCGGTGCCCTCCATGACTTCGCCGCCCGCAGGGTCGGGCTGGCGCTCCCGCGAGCGCCTGTTGGCGAGGTAGCATCATGTACACCAGCATGAACAGGAACAGTGGCATGACGATGCCAATCGTGCTGCCGTCATACTGGCCTTCTCCCGTGACTGCGGTAGCCCCCGCTGCGCCAAGACTACCTTCAGCATAGCCGCCGTGGAGTCGCTCACATGGCCAGCCGTACGCCTTCTTGTCGCTAGCCCCATGAGCTTCAGCAATACTTCGCGGCCGAGCTGTCCGTACCAGCAACTCCCTGCGTGTGGATCCCGCACAGTGCGAGGATTTGCTGCAACAGGATAGCGGAGGCACCCGCCCTGTTGAGAGCCAGGAGCTCTGCCACCCCGCTTGACGTCGCTACGTAGCCCTGCGTCGACGTCGTTACCTCCAGGCAGTGATCGCCGAACATCATCACCGTGCACTGCGTGGACTTCGCGTCATCCGCTCCTGCCCAGTCGCTGTCGCCCTCGACCTCCGCCGTGACTGGGAGGTCCTGCAACGGGTAGTGCCACTCCGTCACTGGACACCCCACCAGGTACAGTGTAGCACGCTTGAGCCTGACGTCCTGGTGTTCCAGGGTTGGGTTTCTTGTGGAAGGTTTCTTGTGGGGTGGCCTCCACTGTAGGTGTCCGACCGCAAGATACCAGACCCTGGAACACCAGGGCGTGCATGGATATTTGATGTGGAGTGTCACGCTTTCCATGGCAACAGCACCGAAACCCAAGAAGCCCGGGGCAACCTGGAGGCAAGCAGAGTGTTTCTTGGCATGGCCTCCATTGAAGCGCAAATTCCAAGCAAATCGTGAAACACATCCAGAGCGAGAGCGTGATCTCGAGGGCGCGGCGTTGCAGGAGGGATGTCCCGTGCGGGGGCGCGATGCTAGGATAAAAGCTGCAGAGAGGGCCTGAGCGAAAACGCGATGCTTCCATGCACTGTGAGGAGTACCAGGCGGGAACCACTGTTGTTGTTGAACATTATTACTTCTAAAGAATAATTATTGTTGGGACCCCTGGTGCGCGACCCCCCTCCAAAACCTAGGCCGCAGCTACATTTTCATCATTTTTTCGCGAAAGCTTCAGAAAAGTGGATTATGCCCGGATCCGGTTGTTTTGTTCCCCCCCGCTTTCCCTTGCAAAAAACACTATAAAATGACATTTCTTGTTCTAATATAATCAAATTTCAAGAATCCCTTGCAAAAAATAAGGTAAAGTGGACATTCGCGCGCGCAAGACGAAATCCTTCCAAAAGCTTAGTGTTCGGAGCGATTTTAACATAAAAACATCAAAAAACCAATGGTTTTTCAACAAAAAAATGTCAAAATCTCATCCCGCGCGCTCTTGCGGATTCGTAGGAAACCCAACACTTTTTAAACATTTCTGTCAAACGGGCTTTTGCGAGCAACTTTTTCGAACTTCTGCGACAACGGTTGCGCACCTGCCAGGGCCATCATCCCTGTCAAATAATACCATGCGGGACACATTCGTTTTTTCTTCGCGCGCGCACGCCGAAATCTCCAAAAACCATTGGGTTCTTAAGAATTTTAGCACCGCGCATCATAAAATCACACGAATCGCACCGTAGGTCCTCGAAAAACACCTGCACGACTTTTCAAAATTTCTACCCGCGCGCGCTGTCCTAACAACTTCTGTGGGTGTGTACTCCACGCCAGTGTAGTAGCCACGGTCGTCCGCAGGCCACGAAGTGAAGTGTCCGAACGTCATAGGGCGGGAAGCTGGGTGTGGGTGGTGGCGAAGAGTCGTGTGGATATTTGGTAGAGCTTGCACTGCCCCCCCACAAAGTGGGGGTATTGGCTGGCGTCGCATGAAAACCTTGGCACTGGTGAGAACACTGAGCGTTCGGGTAAAGTGATTGTTGTTGTTGTTGTTGTTGTTGTTGTTGTTGTTGTTGTTGTTGTTGAACTCTCACCGGTTGTTGATCCCCCCACCGGTGCACATTGTTTTTTTCAATTGAAGTGCCCCCCCGGGGCTCGCACCTTGTTTTTTGTCAAGGAAAGTCTTCCTGCTCAAACTGGCCCCCTGGCCCCCGGGTTACAACAACAACGGCTCCCGCTTGAGACTTTCTTGCAATTTAGCCAGGACCCCCGCTCCCGCCCGAGACTTCCTCGCATTTTATTCAAGAATCGCGCTCTCGCTTGGGACTTCCTTACGATTTATTCAGGCATCGCTCCTCCTGCGCTCTGGAGTCGCGCTCTCGCTGGAGACATGCTTGCAATTTACTGAAGAATAGCGCCCTTGCGTTGGAATTTCCTTCAATTTACTCAAGCGCCGCGCTCCCGACACCCAGGCACCCAGGAGTCGCGCTCACGCTTAGGACTCCCTCACAGATTACCTAGGAGTCGGGATCTCGCTGCCCTTCGTGGCCCCGTTGCAGCCCTTCGTGGCCCCCTCGCTTTGTTTCGTGGCCCCGTTGCAGCCCCTCGTGGCCTCCTCGTTGCCCTTCGTGGCCCCGTTGCAGCCCTTCGTGGCCCCCTCGTTGCCCTTCGTGGCCCCGTTGCAGCCCTTCGTGGCCCCCTCGCTGCCCTTCGTGGCCCCGTTGCAGCCCTTCGTGGCCCCCTCCTTCGTGGCCCCGTTGCAGCCCTTCGTGGCCCCCTCGCTGCCCTTCGTGGCCCCATATATACATGCCTTCGTGGCACCCTCGCTGTGGCCCCGTTGCAGCCCTTCGTGGCCCCGTTGCAGCCCTTCGTGGCCCCCTCGCTTTGTTTCGTGGCCCCGTTGCAGCCCTTCGTGGCCCCCTCGCTTCTTTTCGTGACCCCATATATGTATGCCCTTCGTGGCCCCCGCTCGTTCGCGCCCGTGGTGGCCCCATACGCATGCCCTTCGTGGCCCCGCTGTCGCCCTTCGTGGCCCCGCTGTCGCCTTTCGTGGCCCCCTCGCTGCCCTTCGTGTCCCCGTTGCTGCCCACAGCGGCCCCGTCCTTACCCTCCGCGGCCCAATATACGTATACCCTTCGTGGCCCCCGCTCGTTCGCGCCCCTTGTGGCCCCATGTGCATGCCCTTCGTGGCCCCGCTGTCGCCGTTTGTGGCCCCCTCATTGTCCTACGTGGCCCAGGTGCTACCCTCAGTGGACCCATAGTTGCCTTCTGTGGCCCCGCATTATCTGCACTTCGTGGCCCCCGCTCGTTCGCGCTCTTCGTGGCCCCATACGCATTCCCTTCGTGTCCCCACTGTCGCCCTTCGTGGCCTACTTCGTGTTCTTCGTGGCTCTGCTGTCGTTCTCGCTCGCTCTCGCTTTCGCTCGTCGTCGCCGTCGCCGTCGCCGTCGTTGCCGTCGTCGTCGTCGACGTCGTCGTCGTCGTCGTGGTCGTTCCCCTGTCCGTCCCTCTTGGGGTCGGGTCGACGGTCCGCGGCCGCCCCGCCGATCAGCGCTGCCGCTGGCCAGGCCGACGGTCCGCGGCCGCCCCGCCGCTTGCCGGGGCCCGGCCTTCACGGATGAACATCATACCCCCCAAAAAGGGTTCGGTCGAAGACGAAAAGGGCGGGTATCGAGGGTTTGGGAAATTCGCGTTATTCTACACTTGAACAGATAAGGGCGAACAGTCTTAACATGATTGTTGTTGTTGTTGTTGTTGTTGTTGTTGTTGTTGTTGTTGTTGTTGTTGGTCGGGGGCCACGGGCCCGTTCTGAGCCTCACGATTTTTCGTGGTACAAAACCGGGTGGCCGTTTTGAGCAAGAAAAAAACAGGGTGCGAGCCCCCAGGGTGGGCGCTTCAATGGACAACGCATTGTGCACCAGAGCGGGGGGGGATCAATAATCATCTTTCCTGACAAGTGGGGGCTCCACGGCGGCGTGGGCGGCGGCGGCGGCGACTGGTGCGGCGGCGCGTACCGGCGGACGATCCAAGGATCGAGGACCGACGACCAGTGACCGAAACCCGGCGACCGACAACGGTCCACCGACCACCGACCACCGACCACCCCAGACCCCCTGCGTTGTGATGAAATCACAACCGGAGGTTTTTTGTTATTTCGGTCTCCGGGGGCCCTCCCCAGGCCTCGGGACGGCCAAAGAACGACTCATGATGAGAAGCTGGTCCTAGGGAGGGGGTCGATTTTGTGGAAATATCCAGACATCGAGGGTCTGGGACCGTCCACCGAAGACCGATGACCGACGACCGCCGACCAAGGACCGAAGGCCGCGGCGGCGTCGGCGGCGACGGCGGCGGCGCGCAGCGCCTGCCGCGCAGCCTCGCGAGGTGCGCGGCGCGGCTTCGTCCTCCATGCCAGCGCCGCGGATGCCCGCGGCTTACGGGGGCGAGGCGGGGGACGTTGCGGGCGTGCCGGCGGGCTCCTCCGAGGACTCCGGCGGCGACCAAACGTTGCGGTGACTGCCCTGTGTGGTGTTTTTCGTCGGCTCGTGGGGTCCTCGTGGTGATGGGCCTGTTGTCCACCACCACCATAAGCTGGAAGGGGGAAGGAGGAGGAGGAGGAGGAGGAGGACGAAGAGGAGGAGGAGGAGGAGGAGGAGGAGGAGGAGGAGGAGGAGGAGGAGGAGGAGGATCCCTGTTGCGTCCTGACGGTCCTGAATCGTGCCAGACTACGATTCCTGGGACTTCCGCGCTGCGAATCAACGTTGCCGTTGCGCCCTGAAAATCACAAATCGTGCCGTGACACCATGTCAAGGACGCCAGCCATAATAAACCATTGTCCCGTCTAAACTTTGAGACGAATGTGCGCGGCGTTAAGGCGTGATCCATACCTGGAAAAACGCGTGCAAACTTTTGGGACGGATGTGCGCGGAGCTGGGGCTGTAACCACATTTTGGAATCGACCCGCCCTCGACCTGGTAAGACGATGTGCGCGGCGCTAAGGCGAGCGTTTCATTTTGAAAACCACCTCCCTCCATCCGTGAAGCCCTTAGGCATGTTCAGGACGGATGTGAACGGCGCTAAGGCGAGCGCTACATTTTGGATCCGACCCGCCTCCCATCCGTGAAGCCCTTGCGATCTTAAAACGAATGCGTGCGGCGCTGAGGCCAGGGCCACATGTTGAAAATTGCCTGCCTTGCATTCGTGAGACATTTCGCACACTTGTAAGGCGACTGTGCGTGGCGCAAATGCGAGAGCCACGTATTGAAAACCACCCACCCTCCGCCCGTGAGACTCCTGCAAACGTTTCAGGCGAATGTGCAAGGTGCTAAGGCGAGAACCACACATTGAAGCCGATCAGCCTTCAATGCGTGCAACTCTTGCACTCTTCAAGGCGAACGTGTGTGTGCAGTGCCAAGGCGAGCGCCACAGTTTGAAAACACCCGCCCTCCATCCGCAATTCCTTGCGAAAGTTTGAAGACGCGTGTGCGCGGCGCTAGGGCACGAGTTACATTTTGAAAAATATCCGCCCGCCATCCGTGAAGCTGCTGCACATGTTCAGTTTCATGATCATAGATGGTGGGGCGCTATCAGGCGAAACGGCATGCCCGGCTTACAGGCGTCTCGGGGTGCGACAGGGGGGAGTCATTTATCGAAGATATTTACGGCGAATCACCGCCGCCCCCTGCCTCTTGAAATCGCCCATGTGGCCGAGCGTTGTGGCAAGAGCTTTGCCAAGCTATCGGACCATGTGTTCCCCCAACCGTCGTCGAAACCCTTCGGTGAACACTCGTGGGAGGATGGCGGGGAATATCAGGAGGAGGAAGAGGAGGATGAGGAGGAGGAAAAGGAGGGAGGAGGAGGAGGAGGAGGAGGAGGAGGAGGAGGAGGAGGAGGAGGAGGAGGAGGAGGAGGAGGAGGAGGAGGAGGAGGAGGAGGAGGAGGAGGAGGAGGAGGAGGAGAGGGGGAGTGGGGCATCTTGGGAGCCTCTGGGGCACTCTTTGGGCCTCCTGGGAGCTCCCTGGGAGCCTCTTGGACGCATCTTGGGGGCCTCCTTGGGCTTCTTGGGGTTCTCTGGGAGCTTTTCGGGAGCCTCTGTGGTTGTCTCAGGGCATTCCTGGCATGTCTGACGCCGTCGGAAGCCGTCTTGGGGGCCGCTCTGGGGCGACTTGAAACCCCCCTGGGTCCCTTCAGGGCTGTCTTGGAGGCCATCTTGGGCCTCTTGAAGGCCTCCTGGACCGTCTGGGGGCCCTGTTGGGGCCGTCTTGGGGGCCTCTTTGGCGGTTCTGGGGCCGTTCTGGAGCCATCCTGGAGGCCTCTTGGGCGATCTTTCGGGGCTCTTGGGCTGTCTCGGGCCGTCGGAGGGCCGAAAAGAAGCAAATGCCAGAGCCCGTCAACAGCCTAAGAGAAATCAATGATTTTGGCCTCCTCGGGCCTTCCTGGAGGCTCTCTTGGAGGCCTCTTGGGTCGTCTTGGAGGCCCCTTGGGGGCCTGTTGGGCCGTCTTTGGCCATCTTAGAGCCATCTTGGGCCGTCGTGGTGGGCTCCGGGCCCGTCTGACGCCGCCGGAAGCTGCCTTCGGGGCCTCTTTGGGCCTACTGGGGGCCCTGTCTTGGTGGCCTCTTGGGCCGTCTTGAGGTCCGTCCTGAGGCCATCTTGGAGGCCTCTTGGGCGCTCTGGGGGCGATCTTGGGGCCCTCTTGGGGCGTCTTGGGCCACCGGAAGGCCGAAAAGGAGGAAATACGAGCATCCTTCAACAACGCCTCAGGAACATCAGGTATTTGAACCTCTTCGGGCCCTCCTGGAAGACCTATCGGAGGCCTCTTGAGCCGTCTTGGAGGCCTCTTGGGCACCTCTTGGGCTGTCTTGGGCCGTCTTGGAGGCTTCTTGGGCGGACTTGGAAGTATCTTGGACCCTCTTGGGCCGCCTTGGAGGCCGTCTTGGACCATCTTGGGCGAACTTAGAGACCCTCTCGGGCCATCTACGCCGTCTTGGAGCCCATTTTGGGCCATCTTGCGGGAAAGGCATTGACAGGTACATTTTCAACAGCTTTCTGGGTGGCTGGCGGGACGGGCCGAAGCCCCCAGGGGAGTTCTTTGAGAAGAGAACCACATCCAAATCGTAAGAAGTCCAGCTTGCCAGGCACCCCTTTGATAAATCAACAGGGGGCGGCGGATCTCATGGTCTTCGGCCCATCCTGCTACCGTGCCTGAGTTGTGGTAATGAAGCCTATTCGATGTTCGTTGGGATCTCGTGGGAGGGGGCTCGAGGGCCTCTTGGAAGCAGTTTTGACGCATCTTGGAGGCCGTTCTGGGGCCGTTTGGGCGCCTCTTTTAGGCTCTTGGGTGCCTCTTTGGGGCCTCTTGGGGTCTCCTGGGCTCCTTTTGGGGCCTCCTGGGGGCCTCTTGGGGCGGAAGGCTCGGATTTTCAGCTCGTGTTCCTTCTCTTGGGCTTCTGTTGGGGCCCTCTTGGGTCATTTTGGGGCCCGCTTGGAGTCCCCTGGGGCCGGTTTGGGGCGGTCTTGGGGGCCTCCAGGGCCGTCTGGGAGCGTCGGGAAGCCGAAACGGCGAGAACGCCAGAATCCTTCAGACACCTCTTTGAAACTCAATGATTTTGGCCTCTTGTTGGGAGGCCTCTTGAAGACCTCTTGGGGCGCCTTGGAGGCCTCTTGGGCAATCTGGATGCCATTTCGGAAGTCTTCGAGCGATCGTTCGGCGACTCGGGGCCCTCACGGCCGTCTTCGGGGCCTCTTTGGGGCCCTCACGGCCCGTCTCGGTGCCCTTTGGGCCCGAGGAGGCCACGTGCCACCACTGGGCGGAGCCCGAGGGGGCACGCGGGAAGCCCCAGGGGGCACGCGCCAAGCCCTGGGAGACTTGAGGATGCGGTGTCCGGGCGCCCGCAGGGCTCTTCGGGAGTGAGGGCTGAGGCTTCAAGGACTGGGCTGAGGACCTGGGGACGCCAACTCCGTGCCCAGAGGCACGGTGGCAGATGGAGAACAAAGGGTATGAGGAGGAGGAGGAGGCGGAGGAGGAGGAGGAGGAGGAGGAGGAGGAGGCGGAGGAGGAGGAGGAGGAACAGTACATCAGAGCGAGGAGGACGAAGATGGAGGAGGATCGCGAGGAGGAGACCTCGCGGCTGCCCTCCCGAGGAGGACTTGAATTCCGACGAGTATGAGCTCTTGGAGCTCATGGGCAGCGATTCTGACGACGAGCCAATGCTGGCCAGCGCTGGAGAGGCCGATCTAGAATTCGCCATGAAGTATGCGCGTTCTGAAAGGAATGTGTCTTGAGCTTTGCGCTGTTTTTTGGTTCCCTTGGGCCCTCCACGGGCCAACAGACTGTCAGACAACGAGGAGGAGGAAGAGGAGGAGGAGGAGGAGGAGGATGAGGAGGAGGAGGAGGAGTAGGAGGAGTAGGAGGAGGAGAGAGAAACTGGAGGAGGAAGAGGAAAAGGAGGAGGGAGTAGGAGGGAGGAGGGCGGGGGAGGAGGAGTCGGAGGAGGGGAGAGGAGGGGGAGAGGAGGTGAGGGCAAGCTAGATGCGCTCGCGTCATATCTGACATCCTACCCCTCCCTCCCATCCCTTACCATGGCGTAGATCCCCTCTCTACTCGCACAGTCGAATGTCGAGCAGGGCAATGAGCCCGAAAGGGTACGCGATGCATTGTAGAGCACGGCATGGCATGGCGCAGAAGAGCACCGCAAAGCGTAGTATCAACCTAGCATTGCATTGCATGCCGTGGCATGGCACGGGAAATGACGCCAGCGCTGCAGGGGGAGCACGAGTCGGAACGAGAGGAATCGCGGAAATGAGGCCAGCGCTGCAGTGGGAGCACGACTCGGAACGAGCGGAAGCACGGAAATGAGGCCAGCGCTGCAGCGGGAGCACGATTCGGAACGAGCGGAGCCCGAAAATGAGGCCGGCGCCTTAGCGAGAGCAGCATTTTGGAACAAAATGCAGGCGAGAACCCAACTCCAGGGAATCCTGTGGGTAAAAAACAGTACGCGGGAGGGGGGGGCTAATATTTTCAAACCGTCATCAGGGGAAGAGGAAGAGTAGTATTAATATCGAGTAATTGTGAAGGCCACGGGGTCTAGGACCCGTTTCCTTCAGGACAATGTGCTTTCAAGTCAGAGAAGGGGTGCCGAATTCGAAAGCAGCGTTGCATTTGATTCCCTACCTAGACTCTGCCTAGAAGGGTTCTTAATCGGTAAGCTTGAAGGGGCCGGGCAGTGGGAACTGGCCCGGGCGGTTCCCCTGGCATCCGCTCCGCGGTTCCCCCAGTTACGTCCCATTAGCTTAGCGTTGCTTATCTCATCTTAGCTTAGCCTAGCTTAACTTAGCTTAGATTAACTTAGCTTAGGTTAGCTTAGCCTAGCCTAGTTTAGCTTAGCTTAGCTTAGCTTAGCCTAGCTTAGCTTAGCTTTGCTTAGTTTAGCCCAGCTTAGCTTAGCGCAGCGCAGCGCGGCATTAGCATAGCATATCATAGTATATCATATCATAGCATAGCATAGCACAGCATAGCATCTCATATCATAGCATTTCATATGATAGCATAGCGCAGCATAACTTAGCGCAGCATAGCACAGCATAACACATCATATCATAGCATAGCATAGCATAGCGCAGCATAGTACAGCACATCATAGCACATCATACCATATATTAGCTTAGCATAGCACAGCGCAGCATAGCATAGCATTGCATAGCATGACATAGCATAGCATAGCTTGGCGCAGCATATCATAGCATATCATATCATAGCATAGCGCAGCATAGCATATCATATCATAGCATATCGCAGCATACCATAGCATATCATAGCATATCATAGCGCAGTATCGCATATCATAGCATAGCCTAGCAACACATACCATAGCGCATCATATCATAGCATCGCACAGCATAGCGCAGCATATCACGGCATATCATAGCATAGCATAGCATAGCACAGCATATCATAGCTCAACATACCATAACATAGCATAGCCTAGCATAACATAGCGCAGTCTAGCATACCCTACCCTAGCATAGCATAGCACAGCGCAGCCTAGCATACCCTATTATGTAGCTGTCGGTGTAGGTGTAGATGTTGCTTTCCTAGATGCTTCAACTCCTAGGTAGGGTCGCACTGAGATAATTTCGAATTAGCCCGCCGCTTGATTTTCAGAACGGAGGTCCGTCTGTAACCTGCGATCCAGCGTAGTGTTCTGCGATGCCGAATTCGACATTGCCAAACACGCGACACTGTGTGTGTGCGCGCGGTTGTGTGTGTGTGTGTGTGTGCGTGTGTGTGTGTGTGAATGCGTGCGTGCGTGCGTGCGTGCGTGCGTGTGTGTGTGTGCGTGTGCGTGTGCGTGTGCGTGTGCGTGTGCGTGTGCGTGTGTGTGTGTGCGTGTGTGTGTGTGTGTGTGTTTGTGTGTGTGTGTGTGTGTGTGCGTGCGTGCGTTCGTGCGTGCGTGCTCGCGTTCGCGTTCGCGTTCGCGTGCGCGTGCGCGTGCGCGTGCGCGTGCGCGTGCGTGTGCGTGTGCGTGCGTGCGTGTGTGTGTGTGGGTGTGTGTGTGTGTGTGCGTGTGCGTGTGCGTGTGTCTCTCTATGTGTTTGTGTTTGTGCGTGTGTGTTTGGGCGCCCGACCCCTCTTTCTCCTACCCCTTGCTGGG